CCTGACAGTGAAGTTTTTTTCATGATGCAGCCACTGAAAAGTGGCTTGTATAATATGAAATTCTTATCAGGTATCGATTTCTAAAACTGCCTTTTTAATATGCTTCATATTTGTGCTAACAATTACGGGGGAGACGCACACACACACACACACACACCGTCTCACACACACACAAAAGCAAATCCCATATGCATTTATGATGCTCCGCGCTATTGATAAAGACAGAAATGAAGCGAGACATTCAAACGCTGAAAATACTCTTCTATTGTATGACAGATATCACTTATAATTAAGCCGAGGCTGGAGGAGGAATAAGCATTTAAAGAGAAGCAGACTGTGCGTGTGTGGGGGGGTGGGTGGGGAGCGAGGGAGGAAGGAGGGGTACTGTTTGCTGAATATTAAACCAGAGAAGAAACTAAAAAAGATGAAAAAAAAAAAAAAAAGCATGTGCGAAAATTGCTAAAGGAAGTGCGTGTGGCTTTGTTGGTATCGCTGAAGCCAATGAGTTTAAACCGAGGTAGAGTTCTCAATGCGCATGTCAGGAAATGATGGGGGTTACATAGATTCATATAAGGCACAGGTCATGCTAATACAGAGGCTGACGACGATGTACAGTCAGCTGGTTTGGTCTTTAAACTGGATGGAGCGGGATCGCGTCGGCCTCAAACCTTAACTCCGCCAGTGAGATTGAAACTATTTTTTAACTTTGGGTTCATTCGATAAATCGCTTGAGCTTATCTTCCAAAGAGCATCCAGATGTTTGACTGTTTTCTTTGTACGTGTGTGTGTGTATTTTTCCCCAGGTTCTTACATTTACAGGCCTTAACTCCATGATCATGTGTTAACAATTCAAGTGTTTTGGAATTCTGACTAACTTTGTTCTATATTCAAAAATACCATCAATCATTTCCTTTCAAACATTCGGCATACCTAATTTATTAATTCATATGTCTGGTGTTTTGGGGCTTTTATCAGCCATTCTTCATTTTTCCACTTCTTCCTAAACCCACCTGTTGCTACGTTATCATATTTTTACCTCAATTTTAACTCTAGTTTTAATTCCCTGAAAAGAACTCTCAAAGCATCCGTATAGTACCATTTAGACCAGGGGTGTCAAACATAAGGCCCACGGGCAGGCGTCATGGGACACAATAGTCCGAAAATTGAACAGAGGGGCCGGGTCAGGAGCATGTAAAAAAAAAAAAAAAAACATGTAAAAGTCATGCATAAAGGCTAAAAAGCTTAAATGCTTTTAAAATTGTCTACACCATCTATTGGGAAAATGTGGATATTGCAGGGAAAAGGCAGAAGTGTAACGATAATGTAAATAAATTATATAATTTGAGAAAGTTTGGTGGGCTGGATTAAAAAGCTGAACGGGCCACATCCGGCCCCCGGGCCTTAGTTTGCCAATGCCTGCACTAGGGGTTTCAATCCGGCCCGCTTGATGAAGTTTGAAAATTGAAAAATAGACAACACTTCATATTCAGGATATGATTTGAAATTATTTTTCACTGAATATGAAGATTTATCCAGGATACGAACATATTGTTAAGCAAACACAGAGAGGTGACACTCTCTGCTAACTAGTCTTTTTTGGTCTGAGTTTGGGTTTCCTAATCCTATGCCTAGGTTCTGATCCAGTCAGTGTGAACCACAGTTTCAGAGGACATTTGTGTATTTTCCTGTTGTCTGCATAAAGAGGCTGTGATTCACTGTGTGTGTTTGTGTGTGTGAGAGAGACAGAGAGGATGAGGATGTGTGTGTGTGTGTGTTTTAAACTCCTTGTCTCAGCTCGTGTGTGTTGATATGAGCAGAAGGTGGGGTCGGGGGAGTGGGGAAGGGTCTCACATAAGAAATGTCCTTTTTAATCAGGGGAAAAATATAAAATGAGTGTGGAGCAGCACGAGCATATTAATGGGAGTGATTTGCATATGTTCGTCAGCCAGGAAAAGAAACAGCCAGTGTGTGGATTTTTCACTTCATTTCACATTATTCCATTGTCTCTGTGCCTTTGTTATACGTTAAAGATAAAGGCAGGAATCGAATGAAAGAAAAGGGCAGGCCGATATCTCGTCGCCCAAATGAGCAACAGTGCATGGGTCTGGTTTGAATCGTGGATTTCTTTCAGTAAAATAAAATCAGAGCTAAGATTTTTTTTTTTTTTTTTTTTACATCAACTCTAATAAAAGCTGCTGCTATTGATGATGATGCTGATGTTGATGCAATTGCTTCTGCTGATGATGATGACGATAATGAGGGTGATGATGCTGCTGCAGCTGCATGGCTTCACAGCAGTTGTGAAAGTTTGAAAAGTCAGACCCAGGGGCTGATCTGGGATCTGTTAAGGTTCTTTCTTTTTTTTTGGGTTCATTAAGACTCCATCTAAATAATTTTAGGTGGTTCAATATTAGGGTTTTTATTTTTAGTTGAACATTATCATATTTAAATGTGATGTTTTGCGTGATTGTGCGAAGATTAATGACACCATCTGTCATAAATGTGAGTGGGCTGTGAGTCATGTGGTTCCTGTAAGAACAGAGACTGGTCTTTTTAGGGGTGATTTTTTTTTTCTTTTTTTCCTCTTTGATTCACATGTGAACGGGTAAGAATTCAGGAAAAAACTAATAAAAAAGAACAAGGGCTGTGACATTCTTTTAAACAGTGAGTGGAAGCTGCTCACAGTCTCTTCATTCATGTTCTGAAGATAAGAATCTGCCACAGACATAGTGTTGGAGGGAGAGGACAGTGGCGAAATACAGGAGAACAGTCGACTTCTCTGTCTCTAAATGTACCACTGACGGACAAAAAAAAAAAAACAGACAAAATTCAAATGACATTAAGAAAAAAGGTCCTCTTACAATGAGGATTCTTGGCCATACCAGCGATTTAAATTCTCATAATTCTGTGTATTCTAATCCCTTAAAATGACTACACCTAAAATAAAATGTTAAGCTCTAATTTACAAGTAAACTGGTGTTGCAAGGATCGCTGAATCACACACAAAACATCATCAGCAGTGTGTCACATTCTGATGTGAAGACGATCTAGGTTTAAGTTACTGTATCTAATGCGTTATGAAGCTGTGAAGACCTTCAACCAGAAGACCGTAAACCAGAGGAAGAAACTGCACAAATAATGACGTTCAGAGCAGCAAGTAGTAGGCAGTGTACATGCATATTTTTGTTCACTTTTTTTGACACACCTTTTGTACTTCGTATGACAAATCTTATTTGGGAGAAAGGGATAGGTATTTAATGCAGGAATCTGCAGCCTTGGTTGGTTGGGTTTGGAGCCAACAATTGTCTTTGCCTGATTCTGGGACATTAATGTATAATTTAGATCAGCTTTTGCACAGGCATATTACTTTTGGAATATTTGTGGAGACTAAAACCAATGCTAAAATGATGATTTAATGTTTTATTTGACTGTATGATAGCTTTCTGTGCTCTGTCCAGCAATTGTAAACGGTTTAAGCTAACCTTCTGTTACACAATACAGTCTAGCTTTAGCTTTAGGTACTTTGGCTTTAATTTATTAATTTTCTTTGTAAAAACTAGTTTTGTTATAGTTGACAGATTTAAGGTCAGTTGTCTTCAGTTTATTTTTGTGTCTAACAAATGCTTTTTTTTTATTTACCTCTGCTAGGCTACTTTTGTTAACCTGCATTTTATCCATTAGTTGTACCCAAAATATTTGTCATGTTTGGGTTTATTTCTTCTTTCTTTCCCCCCAATTCCCGAACTATTTCTTTGCTTGTCCAGCTTGTACTTGTACAAATGCAAAGGTAACCTTTTAAGTTACCCTCTGTGTGAGAGCAATTCATATTAAACATTGAATTCTTCTACAACGTGGCATTTTCTAACCCTGCTGTAGAGTTACACACGAAACTCAAACTTGTTCTTTGGGGTTTCTCCTTCTTTCTTCATAAAATAAATGAAACCACAGGGAGGAAACAACACTGGGGTTGGATAATTATTAAGAATAAAATATACTAACTAGAACTAAAACCACCATCATTTTCAAGAATAAGGCCAGCAAGTCACCAGAGGAATTAAAATATATTCAGTCAGAATGTAAATTTGTTTTACGCTAATGGGTCCCTGATGTGAGTAAATTTGTGGTCTTAATACACAGCACAAAAATAAACCTAAATTTTTATAGTTTTTTTTTTCTTCCTTTATAGGTTAAAATCCTATTTCATCTCACAG